AGTTCGAATCCACCAGCTGCTCCTTGGAAACCTGGTGGGGCAGTTCTATCCTGTCTTCTTATAGGGTCGCTATGAGTTGGAACCAACTCGACGGCAATGGGTTTTTGGGTATTTTTATTCATACAATTACACTTTCTCTAGTGTGACCAAGTTTGATCCTGAGCCCTCTTCACAATCACAGTGGAAAAATGCTTTAGACTCACCGTTGGCCACGGGCCGAGATGTAGGGCATCACAGTGACTTACTGCTTTCCATTCTCTGCATGAGCCATCTTGCTCTCCCTAGCACTTCTCACATTTGCAGTGTAATTCTAAAGCATATCAAAAAATACTGAGGTTTCTTCTGCATTTACTACTGCTGAAGCTAAATATTTTAATTTTTTCTTCCTTGAATTATCTGTTAATGATTCAAAAAAGAGTAAACCCTTTCTTTAAAGTCAGACAGCAGCTTATGACCTGACTAAAAAGATCTTTCTAGACTAACATCAGACTAGCCTCACTAGTTTGAAAAGTCTGATTTCTTCCCAGAAATCTGACAGTTTCTTTTGCCTTCAACTGTATTGTCAGGCCCGTGATATACACAATAACTTCCCATTTCAAGCCTCAATCCCAGTATAATCTTTGAAAATCCTTTTAAGAAACAAATTAAAGTTAAGTCAACCCTGCATGGCTCCATTAATGCAAGCAACTCAAGTGAAGGGGCAATTGAATGACTGATACTCTTAATGCACAGCTAACTTGCCAAGGGCAGAGTCAGTGACAATCTGTCAGTGCTTACCTCTTGGCCTGATGGCTTGCGAGCATTTGCAACATCAATTTTAAGCTGGGCCTCAATTTCAGAATGTAATGAAGACTGAGCTATAGCTCTGTTAAAATCCTTACTGAAGACTGCTTCTTCTCAGAGCTGTCAGAGAGTCTGCCTAGAGTAGGTCCCTGTTTTTTTGGAGCCTAAAATCACAGTCTGGTGGCCTTCACTGGGGCTATTTAGAGCCCACCTTCCCTTACTCCTTGGCCCTTAGCCTGAGTCTAGTTTGGTGAGGTTGCTGGAGAGCTGGGTTTCAGCAATCATCAATCTGGGGAAATCAAATAAAAATAACAACTTTCCACATCCTCATCATACATGAATTTTTTCACTTGTGCCCCAGATCCCTTCTCCCTAATCATAGGCATCATCAGTTTTTAGTTCTCTAGTTCATCATTTCCATCAGTATACAAACATACTATTAATTTCTTCAGCTTAAATAAAATTAATTTCTTTTTCTTGACCCCTTACTTCTTTTGCCAACAACTGTTGCGTTTCTTTGCTCCCCTTTGCAGCGAAGGCCCTTGAAAAAGTTGTCCATATTTACTGTCTGATTTCTTTTTTCCCCTTTCTATTAAAATTTGCTTTTGTTAATATTCTCAAACTTACAAAAGAGTTTCAAGTGCAGTACAAGAATTATGCTTTCCCTGAACCATTTGAGAATAAGTTGTCAACATGATGCCCTATCACCTCTGAATACTTTAGTGTATATTTCTTATAAATAAGGACTTCAATCTACATAATTATAATACAACCATCAGAATCAGGAAATTAACCTTGATGCATTACTCCCATCTAGTTTTCAGACCCCATTTAAGTATCACAAACCAAATCATGCAGCTGTTTTACAGTGTTTTGGTTTTTTACAAAGTACAATAGGAAGCTACTGAAGGTTTCAAGCAAAGGAGTGGTATGAGCCAATTTATATTTGAAAAATATCTTCCTAGCTGTGGTATGGAGAATACTACTTCTGACACAGTTGTGAAAGCAGGGAGAGCATTTAGGACTGAGATTCTTAAACCTGGTTGTGTCTGAGACCGTTTTGGCTGTCTGGTGAAGCCTATGGACTCGTTCTCAGAATAATGTTTTTAAATTACAAAAAAATTAATTATATTGAAATTCAGTTCATCAAAATATTTTTTAAAACTCTTTTGTGATATAGTTATATATGTACTCCTTTATGAACCGATTATATAAGATCTAATAGTGAGTCTAATGACCACTGTAATTGTAAAGTAGATGAGCATAAATGAGATACTGAGATAACTACAGTAACTCTAATGTGATTAAAAATACCCAATTTACATTGATGACTAAGTCATAGATGCTTCTAATGCTATTGTAGTATGTTACCTACACTTACAATAGAAGGAAATGCTAAATTTCAATTTGAGGCTAATGATTCTATGATTCTAACATTGTGTTGGACTCTCACCCACAGGAGATTGCAATCTAGTTGAGGAAACAATATAAAACATACAATATATTTTGAGAAGGAAACCATTGGCAATCAAATGTTCAAAAATAAGATATGAGCAACTCTGAGCTATTTATTTCGCCCAGTATAAAACCCTGTTTCCACTGAGTCAATTCCGACTCATAGCAACCCTATAGGACAGAGAAGAACTGCCCCATAGGGTTTTTGCAAGGCTGTAATTTTTACTGAAGCACACTGCCACATCTTTCGCCCACAGAGCTGCTAGCAGGTTTGAACCGCCAACCTTTTGGTTAGCACCTGAGCACTTAACCACTGCACCACTAGGGCTCCTTTTGCCCGATGTCGCACCTCCTATATCATAAAATAATTTTTAAAAAAAATCCCTGCCACACATTTGTGTGTGAGTGTTGCAAATGAGTAGGGCTGCTGCTGGATCTTTAACAAGTGGGTTTTAGATATTACTGCTGTCAAGTCTCTGCTGTGTAACAGTTAAGATCCTAGTTGGTGTAATAATTACTACCACTCAACCAAGAAAAGAGCACCCAAAATATTGATCAAGACTCAGTCTAAAAGTCTGTCCTTTGCTTTCAGATAGAGGAATGAAGACTAGAAAAGTTGTTTCCTTTCATTATTTCATGGTAGCTTTTCATAAAGGTAAATAAACAATTTCAATTTCAACCTTTGGAATTAGCCCCACATTTCAGTAGGTTGTATGTAGGCTACTATGGCTTAATGGAATAACACTGGAGTTCAATTTCTTTTTCTGTCTCCTGCTTTACCATATGACATTGAACAAATTATACAATCTGCCTGAGCTTCAGGCAGTGTAATAATTCCTATCTCAGGGTTACTGTGAAGATCAAAAGAGAAAACACATGTCTAGAACAAAATAGGAGCTCATTAAAAAAATCTTTCATAAAGCAATGGAATATCTGCTAAAAAGGGAGACTGCTTTTTAACAGGTATAAGAAAACAAACCTCTTTAAATCAGTCAGCGTGGGCTAGGTTTGTTGCAATAACAAAAGACACCCCTTTTCCCATTCTCAGGTATAATTCTTACTTCTACCACATGTCCATCACAGGTCAGCTGCCATTCCACACCACATCACTTTCACTCAGGGACCTTGCAGATAGATGAAACTTTATCTGGAATATTGCCTCTATCTGGAATACAACAAACAAAACAGAGAATCTGAACATTCTAAAATTTATAGGATTAGAAGATGAAACTGATTCTCATTCCAACCAGTAAACCATAAAATTTTAAGTGACAAAGGTATAATCAACCTAGCCCAGGAGCAAGGAAAAAATCCAGGGTGTGGCCACTATGCCATTTGTTAAGAGATGGCATTCAGTAAATTATTTCAGGTAGATAAAATGGCAGAGGGAAAAGAGCATGGCAAACTATGTATTGGTTCTCAAAGCTTCTGCCCAAAAGTGACTCATACCACTTCTGCTCAGATTTCCTTGGCTAGAGCAAGTCATACGTCACATCGCCAAGCCTGTTCTACGAGTAAATATAATCCACCTACAAGGAGGGACAGCAAACATTTTAAACAGTAATATAATCTACCTCACTCATACAGAGGATTATCCTTTCAGTAGTCATTTTGAGGGACTATGATAGCGGTAAAGTGTTGCTCTCCTATGGAAAACTCTTTTGGAGTGATCTTCAGAGCAAGCGTATTATGTCACATAAGAAAAGGACTCTTGATTTTGTGGGTTTTGACCCCAAATGGCATTCCTCAGGTTGTTGATCGTCCACCTGTTTCCCAGGTATGGTTACAAGTGATTTCTAGGTTATTTCCCAAAACTAAATCCACCCTCAAGTAGTGAAAATTTGCCACCACCAAAGCTGTTCGAAGAAATGTACTATGGGCAACTCCTAACAAGGAGCTACAGCAATGTTGTGAGAAACGACAGCATCACCGAAACCAATGACCAGCATCCCAATGAGACTTCCCCAAAGAGGACAACACTTGATTGAAGAAGTGTGGGTATATGTGTGTTTGGTTAAAAAAGGAAGTTATGTTGATGGTTTTAGCCATACCTAGCAGTTTCTGAAGCAGAGAAGCATGACTACAGAATGATAATAACAGCTAGCCTGTGTGGAAAGCTTACTATGTGCCAGGCACTAAGCAGATTATCTTATCTAACCCTTGCAACCAGAGCCAGGACTAGGGTGAAGCAAGTGAGGTACCCAGGGCACAACGTTTAAGGAGACACACTCACTCTCAGGGTTGTGCAAGGCACAACAGCACTTGCATGACCCTGGCAGTGAATGCTTCCTTAAATTTTGTACCATAGGTACCTCACTCACCTCACCTACCTCACCCTAGTCCCAGACCTGCTTGCAACAACCATATGAGATCAATACTATCAACTCCCTTCCTTGCAAATGAGCAAACAGAGGCTTATGGAGCTCTATTATCTTGCCTCATTTTCACACAGCTAGTAAGTGGTGGGGAGCCCTGGTGGCGCAGTGGTTAAGAGCTCGGCTGCTAATCAAAAGGTCTGCAGTTTGAATCTACCAGTCACTCCTTGGAAACATATAGGGCAGTTCTACTCTGTCCCATAGGGTCACTATGAGTAGGAAACGACTCAACAGCAACAGATTTGGGTTTTTTGGTTAGTAAGTGGTGGAGCAAGGATTTGAATCCAGGCAATTGGACCCCAAAGCCTGGGCCTTGACTGACAGCCCTAAACTCTACCTTATTCAAGTCCTCACCTAAGTTTCTGGTGTTTTTATCTTCATCTCCAGGTATCCAAGGCAGCTGCAGACTTGATGGCCTATTGCGAAGCTCATGCCAAGGAAGATCCCCTCCTGACCCCAGTTCCGGCTTCAGAAAACCCATTCAGGGAGAAGAAGTTTTTCTGTGCTATCCTCTAAATCTTCACAAAGAGCCTGAAGAGCCTCAGGGCTCCTGGGACACTGATGTAGAGTTTTTAGCAAAGTGGGCACCTTTCTAGTCCACAGCATTTAAAGCGAGGGAGTAGAACCATCCAGGAAGCTCCAGGCTCCGCATGTTTAAAGAACCAGCCCCCTTTATGAGAATGAAAGCTGACCCTCATCATGAGCTAAGAGATCTGATATCTGCAGAACTGCCTGGAGGAGGGAAATATGTAAAGATAAAATTGGTGACACTTCCTTTCTGCTATTCCCCCAAAACCTTATGTTTCTGCTTCATATTTAAAAAATGAATATTAAAACAGACAGCTGTGCCGAGCTATGTATGACCTTCTTGGAATGAATATTGTCCTTAGAATACCCTTTGATAAGCTGAGTGTCCAATGTAGCCACAGTTTGGTTTAATGACATTAATGTTGTCTTTGTGCCTTTCTTTTCTTTTTTCCCTTTCCCCTCACCTCTCCTCCTGCTTCCCCCCACCCCACACCCTTAGAGTAGTACAGAGATAAGGCTCAACTTGTCTGTGAGACTGAACTCCAAGAGTACCCAAAATGTTTATGGAGATGATCCCCAAGGTGTCCCCTCATGGTAGTTTAAAAAAAAAGAAAATACGGTTGTCTGTGTTCTCTGATCACTATTCCTAACATCTGTACATGATAGCTTTGATTCTGCAACTAAAAGTAAATCATGTGTTGTGATTGGTGCTTTCATATATTTGTGACAATTTTTGAGTAATACTGCATGAAAATGTCCCTCTGTTACATCCATTCAGAAGTTTTGTTGTTTTACAATCAAGCTGGGAAAAGAAACGAGAGCAAAAAGACGCTGGAGTGGGAAAACTTGATATTTGGAAAATTGAGACGTCTTCAGCGCCTTAGCCACTCCTAAAATACCTCCTAGTTAACAGTGGCGTGAAAGCCTCTTCAAAATGTTTTCCAGAATCCAAAGCAGCATTTTGGTTTTATCCAGGATCCAGGGCAGCACACATACTACCAAGCCAGAGAGGAAAGGATTCACCATCAGTTGGGAGCTGCTTTTGCCACAGAACGAGCAAGTCCCGTCTTTTCTTTCCCTGAGTGACAGAAATTCTAGATTGAAAGAACAATTTCTGCTCTTCTTAACAAGAAAATCATGGCCCTCTTTTGTTTAAGTTAGCAGCTCCAGAGAAGGTGACCCATTCTAGAACCCTGGCAGTTGGCCTGCCAGGGAGAGGACCCCAGGTCCAATGAGCCAACTGTTTGGGTGGCAGGTATAGTCCCCATAGCTAATTCCACTGGGGAAGGTTTCAGGCTCTATTTTTCCACTAACATGGTTTTCGTTTTTCACTCACCACGTTTTTTCCATGAAACTGTTTTTGCTTTGTTTTGTTTTTGTTCTCTGCCTTGTTTGTTAGTGTGTTTCAGTCTTTATTTATAACTTCCTTGCAGCTAGCGTTCTCTCTTCCCAAGATATGATGTTGAGAGTGATTTTTCATTTCAGCTACAGCCTCCATCAGTAATGGGGGCCTGGAAGCCACTTATTTCTGTGTCATTCCCAGTCAAAAAAGGGCCTCATGTACATGTTCTCCTTTGTTTTGAAATCCCAAAAGACCATCTCCCAATTAATTTTATTCTCTGCTCTTTCCCTTCCATTCTCTTCCTCCTGTTTAAAAAAAAAAAAAAAAAGATATGGAAAGGGAGGAAAAGAGAAGATAAAAATATGCCAAGGACAGATTTTGAAACAGACTTGTTAAATATTTTCCTTAGCTCCTTTTATGGATATGATATGAAAACACAAACATAGCCAATTAAATCTCATATTTGGGTGGGAGGAAGGGGGTACTGAAATATTTGTGAAATGTGTGAATGTGCTTTTGTAACAAGATACTTCTGTCCAAACCTTGGGATTTGTTACAGTCAGTGGGACACTGATGAAGATATAGGGGGGAAAAAAAAACTGGGAGTGTATTTATTAAACTACAGTATTGTAGTTAACTTAGTAATACTGTGGAATCAGCTAAAACCTTATCACATTTTAAAAATGAGCCAAAACATGACCTGAATATATGGTCACAAAAAATAACTGTGAAAAAAGCATGCTTTGGCAGTAATTAAGGCTCCATTATAAGACCCAGATGATTTTCATAATCCTCACCGTTTATTTTTCTCAGAAGGACTCTTTATATTTCCATATAAATCTACATTTTTGGAACAACTCAAATGGAATTAAAATTTTCAGGAAGGACCATAATTCAAGTCTGATAATTAAAAGTTAAGGGAGTTCCAACTGCAGGTGACCCTGTTTATAAAAGGGAAAGCAGAAAATACACAGCCCATTTGAAATTAAATTTAAAGTATGTTTTGGCTTTTTCATAGTTTCATGTCTCTAAGTATAGGATTATAATACCAGTCTTTATATATAGTTTTGGCTTATTGATATTTTTAATTATTAAGGGAAAAATCTGTTTTGTTTGACTACATAAGAGCTCGGCTGCTAAGCAAAACGGTCGGAAGTTCAAATCCACCAGCCACTCGTTGGAAACCCTATGGGGAAGTTCCGTCCTATAGGGTCGCTATGAGTTGGAGTCGATTGGATGGCAATAGGTTTGGCTTATTTGTTTATTTATTTATTTTTTGTTTTTACCCCTTAAGATAAAATTATGCTCGTGAAAATGATTGTTAAATTTCTAAAGGAGCTAAACTTCTTTAAACCAAACCAAAAACCAAACCTGTTACCATTGAGTCGATTCCAACTCATAGTGACCCTATAGGACCGAGTAGAACTGCCCCATACAATTTCCAAGGAGCAGCTGGTGGATTTGAACTGCCGACCTTTTTGGTTAACAGCCGAGCTCTTAACCACTGTGCCACCAGGGCTCCTGTTAAGGGGTAACTAATAGGAAAATGCAGCTTAATTACTCAAGGCCGTAATTAATTTCTGTATATTACGTATGGATAGTAATGAAAATCTGCCCTGGAATTAGTTAATAGACAGTAACAATAACCTACATATTTAGAACGCAGAATTTATAAAGAAAAAAAAATCTTGCGTTGCTGTCAACATTGACGTTTCAAATTGATTTTTCAGTGTTAAACCAAGTAATATTTAATAAATCAGAGGATGCAAATATATACTTTGATCTGGGTCTGACTTTGCTAATAACGTTTCAAAGGAAAAATGAAACAATAAAAAAATCTCTCTATACATCATCATATTCACATAAGGAATTTTGAAAAAATGAAGGATGCTGTCATAGAGGATTTTTATACTTTTCTTTCTTTCTTTGTTTCTAGCTGCTCCTGGCAATGGTGAATTATTACACATATGTTTATGTTTTCACAGCCCAAGGAATGTTTGCATTTTTCCTATATAAGATCTATGTAATGTGACTTTCTAAGAGAAGGAAATACAGAAATGTTAAAGCAGAAAAACCTGAATGTGATGTGCAAATTTTCATCCCACATGGACAATGTAATTGTTTTAATAAATGGAATTTTCAGATTCATTTCCTGTGCAGTTGGTTTCATTGTGAAGGCCTTTGGACCACCTCCTCCATCAATTTCTTGGTTAATTTGAAAAGGACCTGACCACAAATAACAAGATGGGTGGGAAGTAGGAGTCCATTGATTTTCTTTAGCATTTTGTTAATAGAAGTGCGCTAAGAAAAAACTCACATGAGACTCCTTAAAAGCCTTTCTCCCTGGGTTTCTGGGTCTCAGGTATAGCCCTTGGGGACAGAGAAGGCTGGTGGGGCTGAGTCCAGGGCTCTGACGGGCTGGACCACGCAGACAGATGAGCTGTATTTACACCTTAATATGCCATGGGCATGCCATACTGGGATTTTTCCTTTACAAAAAATAATTGAACACAGAAAGTGCTGTTCTCAGTAAGGTAGCCATGCTTTAAAAGGAGTCCTGGAAAAGGTAAATGTTTAGAACTCGTGTGGATTTTAGATCCAGCAACTCCTGGGAAATATTCTTAGTCCAGAAAGCCTTTCATGAAAACCGGTTGCTGAGGAATCAGTTCCGACTCATAGCGACCCCATGTGTATCAGAGTAGAACTGTGCTCCAGAGAGTTTTCAATGGCTGATTTTTTGGAAGTATAGATAGCCAGGACTTTCTTCCAACCGGCCTCTGGGTCGACTCAAACTTCCAACCTTTCCTTTAGCAGCCGAGCGCATTAACCTTTTATACCACCCAGTGACTCCAAGCCTTTCTTTCCTATGTCCCTCAAATCATGCCAGTGAGTAAAGAAGGAAACATTGGCTCTCTCAGGACTTGTGCCAGAGACAGAAGCATCTTTAAACCACTGATGAAGGGGCCGATTTGGGGCACTGAGTTTGGGCACTAGTGCTCCATTTACGTCACTGTTTGTCAGAGTGATGTACCACCTGCTTCAGAATCACCTGGGATGCCTATTAAAAAGGCAGACACCTGGGTTCCCCACTAATTCAGACTCTGGCAGTGAGGCCTGAGGACATGCATTCTGTTGTACACAGTAGTCTGAGAAACCACTAATTTAAGTACTTATTACACAGCGAGCTCTTCATGATGCTTAAGGAAAGGCACAAGCCAATGGTCAATGTGCTTGGTCTTATTTCTACAGCTGCAGGAGGTGGGTGCCTGAGAGTGAACAGGTAACCTGTGGGTGAGAATCTCACCAGCTCCCAGACATGAGATGCTGTGAGGAGAAGCTGGTGGGTTTTAACTTGGCTCCTGTTTTGCTGACCCACTGTGAGAGACTGCCTCCAGCTCTCGCTCTGTAATAAGCTGGTCACATTTTAGACAGCGCTCACAATGACAGAGGGAATTGGAGCTGGGTCAGCTCCAATCCACAAATTGCAAATAATTTGCCAAGGGAAATCCCTTTCCCTTCGGTTCTGCCCCACATCTAAATTTTCTTCTATTTAGAACCAGGAGACTCAGGTAGGATTTATTTTTAATGAAGGGGGTCATGGGCGCCCAGGCTTTACCTCAGCGAGAACTCCTACTGTTTCTCCATATCGATAATAAGAGGCCTGGGGCGGGGGTGCATCTTCACCCTAAGGTGACAGAAAGGTGGTGCCTAGTGATCTCAGTACGGACTCTGCGCAAGCAAGGGTCCATCTAGCATAAGCTTGAGAATCAGAACTCAGCCCCAGAGATGCCAGGTGACCTTGGGTCCCACTTCAGGCCCAAATGGATCCAGGTGCTCCGATGATGTTATCAAATGTCTCTCTTATTCCTTGGCTCTACTTTCCTCTGTGCTGATTTAACTCTCAGACAGATTCTTCCCTTGCAGCATCAGGATAGTGTCAATGGCTCCAGGCTTATGTCTGAGCAGTTTAGCCATCACAGAAGAAAGATAACAACAGTTCCAGCAACAGTCCTGGGCCATATCCCTGAAATACTTCAGGTTCACGTGCCCACCCACCCTTGGATAGAGATAGGGTCACTATGGCCCCATGGGCAAAACTGTGGTTCCCTAAGGAAACTGAAAGGAGCCCTGGTAGCACAGTGATTAAGCACTCGACTGCTAACTAAAAAGTCTGAGGTTCGAACCCACCAGCCACTCTGAGGGAAAAAGATGTGGCAGTCTGCTTCCTTAAAGATTATAGCTTTGGAAACCCTATGGGACAGTTCTACTCTGTCCTGTAGGGTCGTTACGAGCTGGAATCAACTCGACGGCAACAGGTTTGGTTTGGGTTAAGGAAATTGACGTGCTCTTACTAGAAGAGAGGCCCTGGTGGCACAGTGGTTAAGAGCGTGGCTGCTAACCAAGGGTCAACAGTTGGAATCCACCAGCTGCTCCTTGGAAACCCTATGGGGCAGTTCTACTCTGTCCTATAGGGTAGCTATGAGTTGGAATTGACTCGATGGCAATGGGTTTTACTAGAAGAAGAGAGATTGAGCGTGAGAGGCAAAAACGACTGGTGCCCCCACATCTTGCCAGACCAATTGATGTAACCTCAGCTTTCATCATGCTCAGGAACCCAGGATGGTTCATGGTTCTCACTGCTGCCAACCACATCAGGTCTACACTCAACTGCCTGGCTGTCAAGGCCGTAAGTAGTCAGGCTCCACCCTACTAGTTCTATTTCGTTTCTGAAACTCTCTCTTCTGGTTCTTCTGGCCTCCTCACTGCCCTATGATTATAACATTGCCAATTCTACCTCCATGCTTTTTCTTATGATATTAACCCTTCTGGGAAGTCATTACTCAACTCCTTGAATAAATAAATCTCGCTTGTCTTTCAAGGCGCAGTTTGAATCCAGTGTCGTCTATGAATGACTTCAGGGCACATTGATCTCTCTCCTCTCTCAACTCCCATTGCTGTTGTCATCAGTCTTTTACTGTGTTGCGGGCTAGGCACAGGGAAAGCCACCATGGTCCTTCCTCCATGGAGCTTGTAGTTTAATGGAGGAAGTGGACATGTAAGTAGTCAATTACCAGTCAAAGTGAGTTCTAGGACTGAAGAAGCAGAGGGAAGGGCAGAGGCAGATTACCAGCCAGAATAGAGGATGTTGGAGTTAATGGTTCGTTATATGAGAATCTTGTCTCCCAGGGTAAACTGCAAGCTCCTTAGTAGTAGAGAACACTAGTTGGGCAGGCTTTTCTTGAATCTCCCTCAGTGTCCAGCACACAGTACAGTGCTGAGAACACAGTAAGTATCCAATAACCATTGTTGATGGGTTGAGTGCAGGACAA